AAGTGCTCAGACCATTTTAATTTCAGATTGAAAACCTTTACAGTTGCCCAAGATTTTAGCTTCAAATAAGACATTTTCCTCAAAAAAGGACTTGTGATAATTTAATATTAGATTATGTACTAATGACTCATAGCTACTTTCTACAAAGAAAAAGTAGCAAACGTTGGAAACTACAATCAATTTTCATTCTGATCAGAAATTAGAAGACTCCGGAGAAAGCTCAGAGCTTGTGAACAGTGGTTCTTCCCAGGGGAATCGTCTGGCACCATGTCAGCTTGAGGAAACGGAAGAGAGTCGAAAGTCCTTGTATCCAGACATCGGAGAAGCCAGTCTGCGCTGATCCTCTGGTACAGAGCTGTGTTGTCTGTGATGTGTTGGATGAGTGATGAGTGGATCCTAGGGGCCAGGGCTGGAGGAGGGGTCTGCCCACACTTTCTCATCCTCCTCTATCCCTGCTCCAAGACTTTTCAGTGATTCCAGATTGGGTGGATGTCATAAACAATAATTTGAGCAACTCATAAGTTGATTCAAAACTACATGTGTTGCATTACAGTGGGGAGGTTGTATTTAAATACTTTTTCTTTTGCAGGTGCAGTCACATAGTTCTAAACCTACTCCTGGGATTGCAATTCTGTCCTCTGGAGACTTACAGAAACATCAGGACTCCTGAGAAGCTCTTCAGACTTCAAACTGCCATTAGGCTGAATGAACAGGCTTCGTGTGCAAGAAAGTGGAGAGACTGTCTTCACTTGCCTCTACAGCTCTTGGAAGACTGAAGAGTTAATGGGGCTCATGGGTTTATACTCCTTCTGTTGTGTGTACATGGCAAATACGTGAGACTTAATTTTGTATTACAGGCTTTGAGTAATTTTTAATCCAAAATCAGGTTATATTAAATTTTACTACAAAAGGCATCAGGTGAGGACCACTTTTATGGTCCTGTTTGGAATACACTAACATTCTAATTTTTGTTTTTAAAGAAGGCTCATTTATAAGGTTTTTTTTCTATCAAAATAAGCTTTATTTCACAAAAGTACATGTACATGTGTACATAGTGATAGTACATAATATGTACATAGTCTATCAAACTCATATCAAATAAAAGCTTTCTAAATGAGGTGATTGTTATAAATTGGGGCAACTAGATGATGGGGCTGGATTTGCACAATGAGAGTCACTCTGAGCCCTACACTTGCTTTTGTCCATTTCATTTCCCTGTCCCGGCTCTGAAACTGTGGACGTCCAGTCCTCTGCAGGAGCTCAGGGAACAGGGATTTCCTCTTGAAGGTCCCACAGTCCCATCTAGCGCCAGTGGCAACATCGTGCTTCACCTTCCCTCTGAGCTAGAACATTTATGCCGTGGAATATCTGCTGCACAGCCTGTACTCATTCACTCGTACATCACATTACGTCAGTCATTACAGGGACTAGTGAGCAGGAAGGGTCACTTCATGCTGGCAATTTGGGGGAACAAGAATGCGTGTTTGTGACAACATGGCTACTTACAGAACTTTCACAAATCTAATGATTTTATGCTTAATTTGAAGTTTGTACATTTTTCAAATGAATAACCTGTCTGAGAAATTGGAACTGCAGTTCCCCTTAAATTAATAGTCAACTTGTCAGACTGTTAATTATAATTGTCTTCTAACAACCAATCGCAATGAAATCACAATCATAACTAGAAGAATTTAATCTGAAACTGCCTTCACAGATGGGTGTTGCCAACGAGAAGGCTTTACAGGATTGTAAGGATGTTTTACTATTTTATTTTATGACCGTGCTAGACTAAAAATAATGGGAACAAATTTTAAGATAAGTGCCCTCAATTTTAAAACTGAAGGTACTTGTCTGGCCCTTGGTTCCAGTGACAAGGACTTCTTGAGTATAGGTGCTCTTAAAACTTGAGCTACCTGGTTGCAGGTTCGAACCATATCATTAGGTCAGTTGGAGTGTGATGTCAAATGTATTGTTTTGTTAGATACAATTCCTTTCTTTTTTGTATCTTAACCATGAACAATTGAACAAATCTATGTTGTGTGCACTAAAAGGCATTTGGTCTCTTTATGTGTAATATAAGGCAAAGTGAAACAGCTACATTTAAATGAAGCAGTGCTGTTTTGAAATAGTCTGGGCACTTTTAAAATCAGGCATGAAGACATCGCATAGTTTACATTTGAATGGCCAAATTCTCTGGCTATTATAAAAACATGTCACTGTTGTCAGCTGTATTCCACTTTGTTTTTGTATGGGGGAACAACGTCACTAACATTCCTACGTAAACAGCTGGCTTTTTGATATACAATAAGCTTCTTAGCTTTTATTTCAAACATGTTTCTTTTAACACAAAATAATTAACAACACGAACTAAATCCCCACTATAATACATTTCAGCTGCAATAAACTAGTCCTTTCATGTTTCCGTTCAACAAATACTACGGTCTAACTCTGAGGTAGTCGGTGACGCCTTTTATATGTGCAGCCTCTCGGGCGACCTCTAGTGGCCGGCGGTCGGCAATGAAACATTCCGCCATTTCTAGTCTAAAACCGCTTAAATACCTTCTACGTTGGTTAGTTATTCTTTATGCTAGATAATAATAATGCTTTATTCTGTTACATTTTATAATACTCATTCTTCTTCTTATTCTTATCATGCCACTTGCATAATAAAATTCGATTTATTTGAGATGCGAAACAAAATAAATGGAGAACACAGCAGCAGAATTGATGTATTTCTCTTAAAAAACAAGAAATGCTTTATTTTCTGATAATGAAGCTAGGCAATGTTACTTTCAGTACCAGTGTGGGGAATTTAGAAAAAAAAGAAAGAAGGAAATATTCTAAAATGACTTTTGTTCTGATTTCTTGGCATGTAAAAATCAGTTTATCCTTTTTTTTCATTTCCAAAAACACATAGTTTACTCAGTGAGAGAGGAGAAGTAGGTAGGATTACCAAGCTGATGTCATACACTAATTGACAATTAATTTGGCATTGACTGAATTTCAATTCTGATTCACATTAATACAAAATTAACTAAAAAGTATTAACTTAATTTCCTATGGCTGTTCCTAAATATAATTTTGTATAAGAATTTAACTCATTTGATCTTTTCTGCCATATATAAAATGATTTGATTTGTAGTACTGAAAAGACTCAGACAAAACAGGAGTTAACTGAATTTTGGGAGGGATAAAGACGAGCCACATAACTCTCAGCTGTTCTACATTACACTACATTACACAATTCCTAATGTTAGCTATAGGTATACATCACTTTTTTATTACTACTACCTCACTTTTTACTTATTTTGTCTCATGCATCCATCCTCCATTTCCACCTTGGTTAGCTCCTAAGGGGATCTGTCCCTCCTAGTAAATGAATTCCTTTTCTACGGAAGCGCATTGCTGCCACCAGGTAAAAAAATAATAATTCTGAGTTATCTTGTAATTAATTACGAGACATCAATTGTCTCTTAATTAGCAGTTAACAGATTATCTCTTAATTAAGAGATAGCAACCATCACATGCGTGTATGAACCACCTTTTACATTTGCAATGACAGGATTTATAAACCGTCGATCGGTTTGCTAGCGCTGTGGGTTTAGTGTTCTTCACGGTGTGCACAGATTGACTTTCCACTCGGATTTATTCAGAATACCTGTTCCTGCTTCAGGGACCTCATGGTCAACACTGTGTTTAGATTTCATTATCTTTTCTACGAAAATGTTGTATTAATAATTATTATAATAATTGCTTATCCACTCAAAGCACTTCACAGGTAATGGGGACTCCTCTCCACCACCACCAATATGCAGATTGGTAATGAGCCAATGGGAAATTTGGACGGGACGCCCCTACTCTTTTTGAGAAACGCCCTGGGATTTTTAATGACCACAGAGAGTCATGACCTCGATTTTACGTCTCATCCGAAGGACGGCGCCCATCACTATACTGGGGCATGAGGACCCACATGGACCGCAGGGTGAGCGCCCCCTGCTGGCCCCACTAACACCTCTTCCAGCAGCAGCCTTAGTTTTTCCCAGGAGGTCTCCCATCCAGGTACTGACTAGGCTCACACCTGCTTAGCTTCAGTAGGCTGCTAGTTGTGAGTTGCAGGGTGATATGGCTCCTGGCATAAAGTGTAACGCAATTTGTGCTATTGCGTGTTAATGTGCTCATTTGTTCTTTATTCAGGATACGTGTGGGTGTCCTCATGGTTAAAACTATTGCATTTTTACTTTCAGACTGATTAACCCCGAGGGGAAAGTCAGTCTGTGCGCATCGTCAGGAACACTAAACCCACAGTGCCAGCAAACCTATCAAAGGCTTGTAGGTACTGTCTTTGCAAATGTAACATGTTTTTCATACACACGTGATCGTTACTATCCCATAATTTCAGGAAAAATCGCAGTAAAAACAAGGACTCAAGTGTGCTGGCTCCTCCTCCTCCTCAGCGCAGAGGACAAACCAAACCGGAAGCACAAAACTGCCGGCAAACTCCAACATCATGGAGTCTCTTCCTGCGGTTAGTGAACTGTTTATCACGATAAACACCAGTCTTGTCCCCAGCTTCAGG